CAGCCTTGCTCACTGGGGAATTCTGGGAGTTGAAGTCCACCCGTCTTAAAGTTGCCAAGGTTGAGGAACCCTGGATTAGGGCAATGTCACTCTCAGACTGGAAAACTACATTCCATAAAGATGACCCAGTTGGACCACAGCATCCTTGATCGTCCACAGGCTCAATAGGAGTCTATATCCCAAGCGGCAGCTGCCTGAATCAGCTGAGCCCTGCAAATAAAAGCTCTGGAGTAGCAATTAGGACCGAGTGGAGCTGATGCGCCAAAACCTTCATTTTTGGTGCCTAAAGAGGTCAGCTCCTAATCCTGACTCTGGAGCTGAGTTTTGGGCTTCACCTCTTCTGAGACTGTATTCATGGCCTCTGGATATGACCTCTGGATGGTGGCTGGACTGGCTGCAACAGGATACTACTTGATGGATTCTCTGTTCGACCCAAGGGGCCTTCAAAGGTAAGTCCATATTGCCACAGTGGAAGAATCGAGGCAGTCGTTCATCAGGGCAGGGGGAACCACAGCCAGGCCAAAAGGGGTGAATTAATGAAGTTCCTTTAATTTAACTTGGATATTTTTTTCTACCGTGTTCTGCATTCTCCATTGGTTCTCCATAGGTTAAATCTTTCCAGTGTTAACACTGCTGTGTCTTTTAATGACAGCTGCAGCTTTAGCTCTCTGGCCTAGCTCCTCCAATACATTAAGCCTTATTGTGATGAAGTAAACCATGATTGTTAATTTTTTAACACAGTGGACAAAACAGATCTTTGCCTCTCTGTGGGTAATAGGACACAGTCTCCAAAGTCGGAGTATCTGTTCCAGGACTGCGGTTGGGCTTGAATATGAATTAATCTATTGGGGGGGGTTACACAGTATGGTAGGGTGAATGGATTGAGTCTGTACAAAAAATTGTATCAAGGTTAACACTAATGAAACATACCATGTAGTACAAATGAAACCACTTAGGCTCTACCTGCCCTGGCTAAGTGTCTTAAAGCATGATGTTTTATTATCATTGTAAGAAGGGAAGAAGCAGAGAAAATCCCCTAGAATTAGGAATGATAGTAAATGTGAATTTGATATTAAACATGGCTTGTTAAAATCACTGGGAATTTTCTGCAGTTTTTTAAGATCAGAATATCTTTATCCCTTCTTTATTCACCTGTAATTTATATACTGAATGCCACAAGTATTTGGCATTCACTATATTTATCAATTCTATGTAAATAAAAGTGGCATTGTTTATTGATGGTATTACAAAGTTGCATACACAAAGAAGAGGGGATGAATATTATCCTTAGAGGGTAACTTTACACTAATACCAATGGTTGTACCAGAGCTGAGCTGGTTAAAATAATAGCTATGCTAATTTGTCTAAGAAAAAATACCAAATATGAAATAACATTTAAATATAGTTAAAGCAATTAAAAATGTTTCATTTTCCAAAATAGATGATGCTTTTCTGAACGGAGCATTCTGTTTTCAGTCCTTCTTATTGGTTGTGAATTTTCCTGCAGTTTCCTAGTTTTACATTGGCATGGTTTTATTGGCATGTATTCAGATTTGCTGTTTCTAATTAGATTCTGATTCTGCATCGATCTTGACTGTGTGTCTCAAACATTCCTATTCGTGTAGGCCAGTTGTAATTTTTCTGTGACAAGTGACCTGAGATCAGGTCCTGGGCAAGTTTTGATAAATGAGCTAATAATTACTGAAGGGCTCAATTCACCAGATTGAATCCCAACATTTCCAGGGAGGGCTGGAAAAAATCATTATGTAATCTTGGAGGCAGGACAAGTCATTGTCAACAACTTTGTGTGAATGGGCCAGTGGTCTGAATCTGCAGAAAGCTGCTTTTTAGGTGCTTTTAGAAAGCCTTTCCCAAGTGAAGTCCTTCCAGATCTTGGGGAATCGGCATTTCTGGAAGACACGGGGCTTCATTTAAAGCATGTGGCTTATCCTATTGCCTGGGGTTAAATCATAAACTCATCAAAAGGGCTGGATGCACACAACGCATTAAATCCACAGAAACCCAAGCAAGTTTAACCCTAAGCAAGCATAGCATGTTGTGCAAATGCAGGGTTGTTTCTTCCCCTGACCTGATAACATGTTGGGTGAACATAGCTATTGCCAGTTCTAAGTCTGTATGGGAAAGCACATTAGTTAGTTCAAATCACACTAAGCCAAACAAAAGCAAGCTGAGGTCATGGGGATGAGACCATGGCCACTATGACAGCCATTTTATGAATTAGCAAACTTCTCCATGTTAGCCTTTGACTGCATCTGCAACATTCAGCAAACCATAGTTAAATTATAGCATGATTTATGAAGCCACTTTTTGGGGGGGGTGTTCCTGGACGAGAGCTCTTGTTTATTTTTCCTCAGTGAAATCATAAACCCTTTAATTCATCTTATTTTTGTTCTAGGATGAGACACCCAAATGAATGTTAAAATGTTTATTAAAAATGATAGAAAAAGATCACTGTGAAATGAATGTGACCGAATGATTCATGAATAACAGTTTCAAAGCAATGATAGAAATTAAGTATATAACACAGCAGGAAAACAGATTGTTGCAATAAAAACTGACAGCAATATGGAAATTATTGGCAAGAAAGTGACTAGCAATCTCTAAGCTGCCCACTTAAAACTCCTCCTGTCCTTCTAGTTGCAACTTCGTTTCATCTAAGCTAAGCACAGTGGGAAATCAAAAGAACGTATCAGAAGAAGACAATGGCAGTACCTTCCACTGGGCTACTAAGAAAATAACATGGATAAGTCAGTTGTTCTTGACTCAAAGGGGACTTTACTTTTACATTCTTTGCTGCATTCTTCCCTTTCCATCACATTATCAATTGCAATTTTATTGTAACAGTTTGAAGAGCCCAGGAACCAACTCAGGTTGTGCATCCCAAATTTCAAGAAAAAGGTTTAGAAAAACTAGCATGGAAGCTAGGAAATATACTGAAATTTATGGCCCCATTATCAATAATGCCACTTCCATATATTAAAAAAATCCAAAAATATTATGCTTTTTTGTTACAATATGTATAATGCATCTAATATGTATCTAATCCAGGTCTCTGATTGGCGCACTCTGTCAAAGCCCGATGATGGTGTTTGCTTGCTTTCATTCTGGTTTAAAAATTCCCGCAGAGCAGCCACTGACAGTCTTTCTGATGGGTCTGTGGAAAGCAGGCTCTTTATTATGACAGCCTGTAAGTAATAAAAGCACATACAGACATGCTCAGAATTTGTACACAAGGAAAAAATAGGTAAGACAAAACTGAATGAGAGGGAAAAAATCTATCCAAAGACTATTACCTCTCCAGGAAATGTGTTGGTAAATTCTAGTGGGAGCATGCCTTCTCTGATGTTCTGCCATCTCTGAAGAAATAATTGTAGTTTAAGAAGTGTTAGGTGGCAGTACCTAGCTGTTCTAGTCAATAACAAACTACTTCCACATTGTCCCCCCAAAATAACATGAACAATAGGTAAACAAGACCCAATTGACTGAGGAAGGTGAAGCGGGATCTTAGGTGCAAGGAAAAGCAGCTATGCCATTTTCAGGGAGGTCAGGCACATACAGGAGAGCATTAGTCTGGCTGAAGCATGTGAGGAGGTGACCTGGTTTTTACTTCCCAATGATTTGGCAATGTGGGGTGAGGTGCACCAGCTTCTGGACACTTCCAATCAGTACTTGTTGAACAATGAGCTTAAAGATCCAATTCACCTATTGGGCTCCCTTATAATGTGGTTGGTTTTGGCTTAACGCAATTGTTTAAAGCACTGCAGTTTGTAAACTCTGGTTTATGGCAGGATAGTATAATCTCCAAAACTTGTCCCCTCACCAAAACTTGTCATCAGCCTCCCTTTAAAATTGCAATTTAAAATTGTCAGTTTTATGTAGCAAAATAGGATTGCCGCTCATTTAATAATCCTATTAAATGGAAATTCAATTTTTATTTTAGCCCGTCTATTGCAATTTGACCCTGAGAAAATCACTCAAAAGGCCAAATGTAGCCTAAAGACAGTTTTGTGCTCTTGACATACAGCTTAGTATATTGGGTGAGTAGTTTGGTATGTTATGTGAAACTAGATCGTCTTCTCCAAGTGATGATCTTCTACTGAACTAAAATGAAACTGTCAATAATGAGAAAGGTGCAACTAGCAGGAATGGGAGAATCTCATGTTTTGGGGGAAAAAATGGGGGGGTTCCTAAGAGACGATGGAGGCAATCAAAAAGATTAGAGCATATTCAGTAGTCAGGAAATATCCTCTGGTACAGGGAAGCAAATCTCAGTGAGACAGGTATGTCTTTAGAGATGAAAATATCTGTAGCTCCAGAAATACGTGAAAAGAAAGTATTTTGATTACTTACCATACTTTTCTCACATGTTGTGTTAAATGGATGAAGCATTTCAAAAAAGATCAATCCTAAAGAAAAGAGATCCACTTCCTTTCCATACTTGTTATTCATCTATGGTGAACAGAACAGTGACTAGGTTAGGGAGGTGACTTCAGGCCTCCAGAGAACATGTATCAGGAGGAGGGTGTTAACCAGACTGGACTGAGAGCAGCCTTTCCCAGCTTGGTTCCCCAGAAATGTGCTGACCTGCTCAACACATGGCAATTGCAGTCCAAACTGTGGTCATGTTAATCATGGTTCACATGATGGGGGAACCAAATAATTCTCTCAGAATGCTTGAAGCCTTGGACCTGCTGAAGTGAAGTAATGCATGCCAGCCTCACCCCTTGTCTATGTATTCTCCCACTTCTTACAATCCTGTACCTCCTTGCATTGAACAAAAAGGTAGTGTTTCCATTTGCATGAACGAAAATGGAACTGGGCTTGATTCTCCAAGTCTGAGGGAGGAGAGTAAAGCTCTTAAGATCTACCATCCTGAAGTAGAGGTCTGGGGACCTGGGGGAACAGGAGAATAGTTGGGCCCTTCTTGGCATCCGAGAGAAGCTCCGAAGGGGCACTAGAACTGTCCAAGGTCCTGTAACCCCAGCCTGACCTTGTTCTATGCTTTTTCCCAGCTGAATCCTGTTAGGATTAATATGTGAATCCAACTTAGAGTCAGGACAAGATGCACCAGGCTCTCCTCCTGCATGCTGCCTTCAAATGTGTGGGGAGTACGGTTTCCAGAACTGCTAGGCAGCAATAGTTTGACCAGGGGGATAAAGTACCTGCTCAGGGGCCATATATGATGGTGTTCCCTTGTCAATTGTTCGCTCCGTGGCAAGGTCACCTGTTCCTGAAGTGGCAAGCCCAAAATCTCCTATCTTTATTTTATCTTCAGTGGTGATGAATATATTGGCAGGCTGCATGAAGAAAAGCAAAGGCAAAAGGAAGCCAGTTGGAATAGCATCTGTTTTCATATGACTGGGTTCACAATCTCACACTGCCATTGGGTGGTTGATTTGGTTCTGCCTTGGTGTATTATCTGAACCCAGCCATTGTGAATTATAAGCCACATTTATAACTTAGGTATTTAGCTGAATTTGCACATTGCTGTTTGATATTTCTGTACAATATTTTTCTGTTTATCTTTTTCTGATTTTTATAAACTTACTTTGAGATCTCTGTGAAAAATGTCTTTTAAATGCATGTACTCCACTCCTTCTACAATTTGCTGGAATTTGGTTAAAGAGTCATGTTTGTAATTTCCAACCCATTTTCTTTGATCAATCCAACCTTCTAGTGTTCCCTGCTCACAAAACTCTGTTTGAATGAACAGGTGTTGACACAGATCTTCTTGCTCTGAGCTGTAACTATAAATATAAATATAATTTTATTATTAACTATTCTTTATTCTTTCACATTTTAATTCACTCAGATCCACAGAAAATTATTTAAAAGAATTTTAAAAATCAGGAATTAAAAATTCAGAACAGCCAATAGCAGTAACAGAAATATATATATATAAGGAACAGCACTGAGAATCTGTATTCCATCAAAACAAGGAGAAGCCTGGTGGAGGGGGGGGGATTTTTTTATTTTAAAACAGAAAACATTCCTAGAGGAGACTTGATAGACCTTGACAAGGAGATCTGTCACAGAGGCCAGGTTCACATATTACATTAATTCATGCTTGAATTTGTTTTGTTGTTTGATCCCTGCTATAAATGTTAGTTTACAGCGTACTATATTGAATGAACCCAGCCAGTTGTAGTTTAGTTAATATCATATCTAATCAAAACTTACGTTTTGGTTTAAGTTAACTCTGAACCAAAAATGAAAAGGATAAACAAACCTTAAACTTAAAGCCCCAAGGATGGGGTAGGACCCAGGTCTAAAATGGCCACCTGGTTATTTGGGAGTAAATATAACACCTAAGTAACCATTCCTAAAGGTTAACAGCTCAACATGGTTGGAGCTCAATTGGCAAGAGCCCCAAGGTTCTCTCTTTACAATAGAGCAATACTGAGAATAACAGCAAGGCTGTTCTTTCTTTGGAGATCCTCCTATATGAATGGGTTTAAGGCAGACTTTGAAGGGCCTTCTTTGCTTTCTCAATGTGTTACACTTGTCTTATAACTTATGATATAGTCACACACTAGTTTAACCACTTAACGTGGGGACAGAGACGTTTGCTGACTTGGCAAGATAGGGCACTGGTAAGAAACATCTGTACCACAGAACAGTAGGATTTGGTATCACAGCTATAGTTGTACCTGCCATTACTTGACTCATCTTCCAGATAAGAGATGTCTTCCCCAATCCAAGAAGTGCAATAGTGAAGAATGTTGTCATGCTTCAGCACTGCTAAAAATTTCACTTCATGTAGGGCTTTTTCCATATTGCTGGGAAGGTCAATAAGAAACCAAAACTTTCTGTTGGCTAAGGGTGTAAAGGGATTTTCACTCCAGCATATTAGGAGAACACCCAGCTAGAGGAGGCTGTTTGAAATCATGGATGAAACGGGGTGGGGGGGAGGCATTTTCACACATGTCCAGTTGCATAGGTCTCGGTAACAAGCAAAGATTAGGTTAAAAAGGATGACACATATGCCATGACATTATGGTACAAGTTAAACAATTATGTAATTGTGTTTGTCACAAGTACATAAGTTACGGCATTTGCATGATCATGTCATGGCAGGTGTGAGTCATTCCCCACCCCCCATGCCTTCCCTGAGGACCCCACTAGATAGAGGATGTTGTTTATGCTAAAAAAGGACTTAGGAGACATGAGCAACTTTTCTCAGATTGACTTTGACTTTCAAATGGCATGCAAAGGAATACAATGCCTAAAGGATGAAGACATGAGAAATGCCAGTTTGGAATGTCACCAAAGGGGGAGGCTTTTGGAAATGGTGAGGATTGCATCAAACTTGATTACTGTACTCAGGTCATGCATCTCTCTCCCCGCCAAACTGTGAAATGTATATCATTCTATTGACTGCATTTCTGTGTTCTAATATTGTTATATAATTTACAACATCTGTTCTACTTTTTGTGTACATATATATGCAGATCTATCATAATTCTAGCTGCAAATCTGCAGCCAGCAAACTAGAAGACTGAACTCATACCCTTCTCATGAAGCTTTATTTACTATAAAACATAGAGCTAAGTTTCTCCTAATGTTATCAGGAAAAGGCTGCAGTCTTTTAAAAGCTTAGTCATCCCAGCAAAAGCAACCAAGAGGTACTTACTCTGTAAGTTTAACTCGTTTTATAGCATACACTTTATCATCCAAGAGGTGCTTTGCCTTGAATACAGTCCCAAATCCACCAGTTCCAATTGCTTTTATATCTTTAAAATTTGAAAGGAATCTATGATAAGAAAAAAAAACTGGCGTGACACAATGACAAAAATGTTTAAGATCATAAGATGTGGAGTTATCAATGTACAGAGATAAAAAGATGAATACTAGTTGTGTTGTACTACCATCTTCAGCCTGTATGAATTTTATCTAAATCCATTAAGACATTACAAGCTAAAGAAGACAACCTCATTTAATATTGAGTAATATTATGTTTATAGTGAAATGTGTACCTCTTGCAAACAGTATGGTTGCCTTCATTTTGATGCTTCATGGAAAAGTCAAGCGATAGTGGTGTTTTGTTTCTAGGGAAAGACAAAATAGTTAAAAAGGAAAACTGAATTTTGGAAGATCTTTATGCAATTCAAAGGATTGTGTTCAAGAAACTTTCAGCTTGTCCTGTTTATATCATGCCCCAAAAAGCTTCTTGCCCTTGGGCTACATGATCTTTGAGATCCTTTTAGCTCCATGGTTTCATTTATTTGCTTTTAATCAGGAGACTTTGGAGTTTGGTATCTATTCAATGGAAGTCAAACCAAAAAAACTGCAAAATGAGGGAAATGAGATGGCAAAACTGAGCTTTTATTATTATTGCAACTTACTCTGCAGATGCTCCCTTTAATGCTTTTTGGGAATCAGCAAATGAAAGTTTGATGGAAGGAATCTTTTGTGCTTCTTCCTAGAAAGAAATGCAGACAAATCCCGTTATTAGCAACAAAATGCTTAAGAATAACACATGGGATGGAAAAAATATGAATAAACAGGCTAGATTTGTACATTATCCAAATCTAGAACAAGACTTGTTTGATTCTGGCTTACTCTGTTGTGTGAACCCAACCACTGTGGCTTGAACACCATCAATTATGGGTCTTTGTGTTGTAGTTTATTCAATAGAATGTTTACAAATGTAGAGTACAAAATCCAGAACAGAGACTGGATGCAAACATGATAAATCATGGTGTGTTTAATTATTGTCTGTCTGAATAAACAGAAGTTGGGAAATGGAGTATAAGACTTTTCCCCCTACCCGGGTCCCAATGAGAAGTGCCTGATTCTCAGCTGCTATTTTCATAGATGCCAACAGTAGCTTTGGGAGTTGAAACAGATTGAAATGGTTCATCTCCCTCCACCCTGGGATTGCAGTGCAGTCTGGCCCCTCCACAGTGTATCTGGGTGGTGCAGTTAGAGCTCAGTCTAGTTGAACTCACAAACTAAAGCAACTAAACCCCAAAGTCCAGTTAATAAACATGCCACCATCTTAATCCCAGTTATGTGTGGCTGTTTAGCCATGTTGTCTGAACCTGCAAGAGCCATTTTGGGCCTGTAGAAACTAGCATTTCTAACCTACAATAAATACAATAAACCTTGGATACAAATTAAATCTCCAGTAGACCCCAAAAGGCTGTTGTGGGGCATCTGGACAATACAATAGGCTTACCATCCTGTTTCAAGAGCCACTTGTGGACTGGGGTAAGTTGGAGATCTGCAGTTATTAACTGGATATTTGGCTTAGCACATTACACAAACATGACCAGTAGGAAACTGCAGATGGGTGAGATGTTTTTAAGTGAGACTGCTCGTTAGAATACTCACAGGGGTCAGCTCATTTATTCTTTCCACTTCATCAGCTTGCCAGGATTTGCTTTTCCCTTTATAGTTGGTCATATGGACTGAATTAACATGCCAACAAGTTCCACGCTGCAGAAAAGGTTAGAAACTTATTTAAAATGTGGCACTTGCTGGGGAAACCCAACAAAAAATTAAACAGTAACATCCATAAAGTGGTAATTGGCAAGCAAGGGGAAGAGCTCCCTGCAGAACAATGGCAATAGTTTCAGCTCATACCTTAAACAGCATAATGAACCAGCACAAATGTTCTTCAGGCTCATAAACAGTGGATATACAGTCTCCAATCCGCTGAAGTAGATTGATAATTTCCTCTAGATAAGAGAAAGACAGAAGCAACACTTTGTACTTTATAATAGAGCTGTGCAATGGCTTAGATTCGGGTTGGAAGAAATGCTTCACAGTGTGCAGGAGCACAAACACTGCCCCATCTGCAACTCATGAAAGGATCACATGGTTGCAGCAGAAGCTACCCCAGCAGTCCTACGATCCTGGAAATGGATGCAGGTGCTTTCATGAAGCTCAGCCAGGTGCCACATTCATACTCCAATGCCCCACTCCTAACTGAAATCCAAAGGACTGCACAGCTCTATTTACCAACACATGAAATGAAAATTTTAGTGCAAATCCTACTCCTTACATGAGGCATGTGGGTGGAAAAGCAATGGGAGGATAAGCACACTGGTGCGAACAGTGGCTTCACAGTGTGATTTTCACTGAAAAACAGCACAGGGCAGTCATGATTTCTTTTAATGTAGAAAACAAAAGTTTGGTAGGAGAAACCTCATCAAACCACATATTTTGCCTTTCCTAGTCACAGCTCAGATCTTCTCAAAGTGGGGAAGCGTTTGCTGAGAAGTAGAACATTGGCTTATGTAGTAAGCTAGACTGTCGAATGCCTGCAGCATATCTGTAACTTTCCCCCCTTTTCAAGCAGAATTCCACAGTCCCAAGAATGAGGCTCTTACCCAACTCCTGAGGTACCCCAAAATAATATTTGCAAAGAAAATTTCTTACCTGTTGTGCTACCATGTCCACTGTCAGGAGGCCAGCCCTCCTTTGTACTTTCTTCAGTCATGTTAATTCTAGAAATTGGGGGTGGGGGCAGGAGAGACACATTTTGTTAACAATTCACATGTTTAGTGAATAAACTGCCCCCCCTCCAAAATACAGGTCCAGACAATTCAGTCCCACCCCCTCTGTCAGTGTCATGATGTCACCAATTGCACCTCTCCAGCAGGGCAGAGACAGATGTCATTTCCAGGCGGAAGAAAATGGTTTAAACCACCTTAGTTTGGAAAAGAGAGATTTCACGACTACAGAAATTCTCCCCATCCCAGAATGGCTATACTAGAGCTAAAGATCACCCAGTGCCACTTCTCAGGATCTGGATTTGGGTGGGTTAATTTTTCATGATCTCTGCATTCAATTCTTTCCTGTTATCCCCAAAAAGGTGCTTTCTGAAACAAGTTTGGGGCAGTTTACTATCCTTTACTAGCCTCTTGCTTGGTGCTCACCTTTGGATTTGGGGCCTTGTTTTCCCTCCTCTTAATTACTGAAGTGAAGGACTTCTCTCTCCAACCCATCTCCACTCAATCTGCTAAGGGAAGAATGTTTTGCTCAGGAGGAGAGTGGCTACAGTCTATGAGACTACTGTACAATGCTACTAGCCACTTGATCTCAGGGAGGGTGAGTTGCAACCATGCTGCACTACAGGAAAAGTTATACGGACACACTCCATGCATCAGTTTGAACGGAAGTTTGCTGCCGCTTAGACTTAACTGGGCAAAGAAATCCGATGGAACACAACCGGAATTGCTTCTGAAGAGACTTGCCTAGACTTGCACTGAGGATGTCTGAAAGATTATGGACATTCTCTCTAGCAGCTTCTTCTCACAACTACCCCTCCACAAGCCCTCTCCCCCTTATTCTTTCCCCTCCAAAGAGAAACTTACCGCAGATAAGTTTTCAGTCTCTTTTTTTCCTTCTCCCTCCAAAACAGATTCTCACAAGCTTCCTGTTCTATTTCCCCGCCCCTCTCTTTAACCTCCCAGAATGCACTGTATTATTTCTATATTAATCCTAGGGTCCAGATGTCACATACTGGCTTTGAAGTTTTCCTAGCTTTCACAGAAACTTTCTTACATTTTGTTTCCCTCTCTTGCCTGTGGTGGAAATGGAAGCTGTGCATAGAAATAGCTAGAAAATGACTTAGCACTGTCTTCCAATTAGTTTTTTTTTTTTAAATAGTGATTCTTAATTTTTATATTTCAAGATACTTTCAAGATATATTTTATATTAGGACCACGGCATGTTCTTTTCCGTATTATGTTTATCTTCTTATTCTCAACTGTTTGTAAATAGTAGCTACTTATACATAATTATCACTGCTTCCATTTGCTGTATTTCATTTTTTTCAATAATCTGTTTGCCCACCAACCCATTCTGATGGTTGGTTTTTATATTCTCTTGTGATTTGGTCATTGGCCAAAATAAAATGATTTTATATACAATAATTCCTTTTCCAAATGGTTTTCCATGCTTTTAGTTAGCTTTTATAAGATTATGCTATAACAAAGTTTATTTGTTTGGCAAATATAGTTATGACTTTCATTTTCTTAATATTTTTTACATTATTATCAAATATCTCTGTTCTTTTCTTTCTTTGAATAAATCTTATATACAGAAATACACCCACCCACATCTATATATGAAAAGTTCATGGATTGTGTGTGTGTGTGTGTGTGTGTGTGTGTTTGGGACAATGGGAGCTGTTGTCCCAAACATCTGGAGGTCACCAAATAGAGGAAGTCTCATCTGTTTGGGACTTTCTCCTTTTTTCTTTCAGCCATGGCCTACCTGCTAGAAACAGTAGGGGGAGCCCCCACACAAGGAATTTGTAAGCAAAAGGCCAGATACTCTGAATGAAGTGGCAGAGGGCAGGTGATGGTTGCCCTTTATTCATAAAGATACAAGTTCCCTTGACTCCTGGTGAATACATGGCCATCTACACGAAGTTTATTTATCTGACCTTGCTGAGTTTTTTAAGATTAGCCAAGGATGGCTGGGTACTGCACACATCTGGACATGCCAAAAAGATGGGCCATGTCAAAACAACAACTGCCACTACACCTGATAGCTTCCAAGAGGCTATCACACAAGTCCTTCTGTCTGTTGTAGTTATATATTGCCTAATTCTCCTAACAGTTTTATAAAGGTTTAGATTTGCAAGCAGTCTTCACCTGGTGAGCACACTTGAACGGTAATGGCTTTTTTTTTTTTTGCAAAGCTGGGAAGTTTGGGCAAAGTATAGGGACTTCCTCATTCCCCCCTCCAGCATCTCTGGGGGTTTGGAATGCAATTTTCTTGGCCCATAATCTGTTAAATCGGTTGCAGAACAGTTGTAGAGAAACTGAAATGTAGATATTCCTACATTTTGCTGACGCTCTTCCTTATATCACCTCTCCCCTCCACTTTTTTTTAACAAGCACCTAGAGTACAAGGCAGACTTTCAACAAAATAGACAGACAGGTTCGGTTCACCAGCTCCTGGCTGGAAATTTACAAACATCCCAGGAGTTCCAATTGCTTGATAATCTGTGGAAACAAAAGAGGCCTTTAGGTTTGTGAGCCCTTTAAAAAATACTCTTCCTTAATATATATAATAGTTTTAAAAAATATTATGTGCTTTCTTTTCATGACATTTCTTGAATATATTTGATGCAGTCTGATAAGCTGTGTATCAATAGAACTCACATTTACTAGAATAGCAATTCACGCCTTTCATTGCTTAGGTCCCACCAAATCTTCCATCAAACAACCCACTGTGAAGAAAGCAAAGAGCCCACTTTTTTCCGATCAGATAGGTTACACCTTTTCCAAGCATGTGTTTAAGGCTGTTGTCAATCCCAAAATAAAGGCCCTTCCCCGTAGGGTGAAAACCCCTGACCCCTTTTGATCAGTAATCAAAAGACAGGAAGGTCTCTTCATCTCACTGAAGAAATATGGTAAGAATAGTTAAATAGACAAAGGCAGAGCCAATTAGATGAATCAAGTCAATATAAAATATATACATTACCAAAACCTATACAGTTTACTATGCATTGCCATAGCAGAATATAAATCAGAGAATAGTCTTACGCTCTAATATCAGGCTTTTTAGATGGCTAAAATGGAATTGTTTTCATTTAGAAGTTGTCCAATTTTCTCATCTTCAACATTTATATAGCTTGTAACAATTCTAAAAAGGGTTCTGTTTACTCAAAAAAAATAGCAAAGTGTAACAGATAAGACCTGACTTGGAATACTGTTTTTTGGTAAGTTGCAACAATTCTTCAGATTTCTTTCTCTTAGTGGGAGCATATCAGCAAAGCAATGGACCATGGTGTCCTCCTAAAACCTAATCTTAATTTTGCTGGGCAACATTTCAATGAGAACTGAACTTTGGTGAGAACAACAGCAAAAGGAATGTTCTTGCTGGATGATTTTTGTACTTGCTGTCCAAAGACATGAAGGAAGCCATCAGCTGTTTCTAAACCTTCTGTTATCATTTATGTTGAATGCATAAACTTAAAGCTTCAGTAATTTACTCTGAGTCCCCCTAGACTGTTTCTGAGACCCACCTAGGGTACATGTACCATTGGTTGAGATTCATTGCATTAAAGCATATGATACCTGGCAGTAAAGGATAAGAGAGTTAACATGGTCATCACTGGCTCTGCCAAGATTTGACTCCTCTCCTTTAATATCAGTCCTCTTCAAGATAATGGGAACCATGTCCTCAAATTTACATTTTTCCTCCTCTCTTCTGAGATTTTTCCTCTGTCTTTTAGAGTGCAAGTTAAACTGTGCTGAACTTTGTAAGCCAGTCTGCATTAATTTCTTTGGCCAAAGGAGGGTACAAACAAATGCTGTAAATAAATATGAAGAATGTTGTTGCGTCAGATGCAAGACTTATCTAGTCTTCCTTGCACGTTGAAGCCTATCGGCCTTAGGAAAAGGAATCTAGGAATTCAATACTCCTCATTGGTTGCTGGGCTCTAATCCATGATAATTATCCCTTGCATGTGGGGATTCCCTATCGAAGGACATTGATTGATTTCTTTTCCAATGGCTTAATAAACCTTTTGTAATCTTTTTTCCCCCCTCCCAGGTGGTGAGGCATTTCTTTGCTTCTCAAAAAAAAAAAGGCTTTGGAGGAACCGACAATTCCAGGAAACCAATAAGGCTATCACTGAGAGATCACAAAGGATAATGGTGTGGAAACTTTGGCTCAAGCTTTGAAGCTGGAGGCCTCTTTTAACAAAAGAAGGCTGAGCAAAGAGGAAGAGTCATCAGGGTACAGGGAATTGGGGGAGCAGGGAGAAAGCCAAAAGCAATGTGGTTATGGACTCAGCTTCAGCCTCCAAGACAGTTTAGTTACTTTAATATTCCTGAGTCAGTCCATTTCCTTTCCCACCACCCTGGTGATTTCATCCCTGGTGGGTGTGAAAGATGATCTGCAAAAGGTTCAGGCTGAGGTTTTGTACAGGACCTGCACTTTGAACTGACCCAAGTCATCTTGCTGCCTGAGACAAAAAAGAGGGAGGCCTGACTTCTGGGAAAAAGCCAGCTGGATAGTCCATCCAATCTGTCTTCTTCACTGGCCACACAACTAGTCAGGCTTCTTAACTTTTCCTTCCAATGTCGTACTGTCACCTCTCAGCATATGTAGCCTGAAGCCATTGCAAAAGGCACAAGGTCACAAATCTGAGTCAAAACCAAACGCTAGGTTATAGTGCAGAATAACTTGTGAACCTACCCATAAATCTTCCTCTTCAAAATCTAGAGTTCCTGGACTTAGATGATCAGGAACCACAAGACGTTTTTCCAACATTCCAGTCTAGTCTATGAGCCTGGAATTTCCTGATGATTTCTCTTCCAATTATGAGCCAAGTGTAACCTTGCTTAGCTTTCTGAGATCAGCCAAGATTGATTAGACAGGTAGGTAGGAATGAAAGTGTGCCATCTGCACGTTTTTCCCATGAATTCTTAAGTAAGCCATAAGGAAGACTATTCTAAAAGTATTTCTACCCAGCAGCTTAATTTTGGCTGGAATTCTGAGAACTTTTCCAGCTTCAGTTACCCTGTTGGTTTGTGGCACATCTGCTCACCAGTCCTCGGCTTACTGGCCTCGTCCAGCCAGCTGCCTCTTTGATTCAACATCTTGAACTTGGAATCATATCACCAAGAGATATTTATCCTCAAGACGTAGCTTGCTAATTTCAGGGTTAAAATGATATCCTGGTAGTGTTCCCCTCGATTCCTCAGCAGCTTTGGGATCAGAAAAAGCTGTCTGTGCTCCACCTCAAGGCCTCTAAATTTGGCACTGGGGTTCTTTTACCAACTGAACCATGCATGGCCGTTTTTGCAGCCCAGAGGCCTATTTTGATATATCTTATTTTTATAAAAGACAGTGGTTTGGAAAGCCAAGGCAACTGTTAAAAACAATATTTTTAGGGGAGGTGCAACTTCTAACACAGCCACCAAGAAATAATCTTTGATCTGGTGGGTGGTTTGGGGACTCCTTCATTTTTTGGCTTTCCACTAGCCTGTGATAATAGGCAGGTTTACAAGGTGGAGAATAATTTAAAAGGGAACAAATATGTTCCTTCAAAGGACAGAGGTATCCCAATGTGGTTTCTGAACAGAGGAGGCAGAGATGGTGAGGTTTAAAGCATTGGAAAAGCCTCCCCAAATCTGCTGATCTCCATAGGCAGAGGGCTAGTTTCCATAATTTCCAGCAAGTGGCTGGGAATTATGGGACTTATATCCAACACATCTGGAAGCCACCAGCTTGAGTAAAACTGGGCCACATGGGTTGTTCTCACACAAAGCATCTTGGCTACTCAATTAATTCATTTTCTGGGTTTACACAATAGGTTGACTCATAAGGTAAACCAAAAGGTTGGATTGCACAATTCCCTAACCACAAAAACACTAACCATGTTTAGTATGTTGTGCACATCAAATGCAGCTACTGTCATTA